CACCTTGGGGTGCTTACACACATCATTAGAAATGGGCTAGTCCAGGTGCGAGAATTAGCCTGTAAGGGCTAGAGTTCATGGGCCAAGCAGTTCTTAAATGAATACAGTTTGTGTGTTGTTATTTCGGGCATGAGCTAGCCAAGTGGCCGGGGTGTTGGGGACGCAGCCCCGCCGCTCTTTATTTCAACAGCAAACATTGACATTTATTAATAGTTACAAGTTAGATTGCTTTAATGTCATGACAATGAGTTGAATTACATTCGTGAACACAAAGACTCTCTAGAACAGTGCCCAGGGGCTCTGAAATAGCTTAGTCGTTCAAGTGCTTGCCAAAGAAGTTTGAGGAGTTCGAATTCCCATAATGCCTGCAGATTCTGGGCAGTGTAGCAGCCCACCTGTAATTTTGGCTTCTTAAAGCAGGGACAGAGGATCCCCAGAGCAAGTTGGCCAGTGAAACTGGCCAAATCGGTGAGCTCTGGGTTTGAGAGACCTTGACCTGCAAATGAAGATGAATTTCCATGTGCATGTACACCCATGTACATATACACATGCACGCACATACAGATGCACGCTCGCCCACAGACAAGCATTTCAAGAGCCGTAAGTGCACCCGAATTTGTTTCTATTTCTGAAATGCGCCGTGAAGCCTGTGAACCTCAGAATTTGTTGTCTCCCTGAATTGATCTGATTTAACCAAGCGTATGATCCTACAAGATACCCTAAACTTGGTGTGCATATATGTGCGTAAAATACGTGCCTGTGTGCAGAATTATGTGTTCCATATATGTAATGTCTAGAAGGTCAGCGGGGATACCAGCTTGCTCTGGTGTCTCCAGTAGGTATACGATAGCAGTGTATTTCCTCATCCCACGTGGCTCTAGGCATGAGGCCAAACCCAAGTCACAGCCACCTGCTCCACGGCCCCCCCAAAGGGCAGTAATGTCACCTTGCCCACAAACTGGATCAGATTCATTTGAGAGAAGAATAGTAGACTTTTAAAGAATTCAGGCCGTCTTGTGCCCCACCGTTTGGTTCCTCACAGGCAGGCCTTATTCATTCAGATCTCTCACTGCCACTCTGGAGTACCCTAAAGTACTCTGAGTTATTAAGGAGGAAACCCACTTCCCTTGGAAGGCTTATCAGCTCCCCTTGAAGAGCCACAGAGACTGATTAAGACTCCATAAATCTTGAGCACTTGTGGTCAGTTTTTCTTGGAAGAGGAGGCTGGAGGCCATTCTATACAAAGCCGAACAGACAGCCATCCCCGAGCTTTTAGAGACCATCCCAGCGGCGGCTTCTCTTATCAGTGTGCTCCTTCAAATGAGGACTTTGGGGAAAGAGAGGAGCGCGGCCATTTGCTTATTTATTTCTCCGTGGATAGAGTTATTTCAGAACTTGGCTCCACTGAAATATTCCAGTCAGTTCTTTAGCACGACAAGCCATGCCCCAACCACATGTCTTTTTTTTTTCTTTAGAAACCCATGAGTTGATCCTCTGGCCAAGTGCCAATCCCAGGAACCACAGGTTTAGCCCCACTACTATTTTAAAATTAATGTATTTTTTATTCTTCAAAACATATGCTTCTGAACCTTTATGACACTAGTGTTTGAATCAATCTATCACCAAGTGAATATTAAATTATAGTACTATAAACTCCAGGGAAACTTTATTAATGTTTGTAATGTATTCTCATGTGACACCAGCATGTTTTTTAGATAGTCATAAATTCAGACTTTAAAAACCTTCCGTTCTAGGGTGCTATGAGTTTTGTAATGGGTAGAGAAACCTTGCTGGCGAAACATTGTTCTTGAGTTTTCATATGCTCCTGATAGGCATCAGGTCTTTCATATGCTAATTATAGTGGTATTAAAAACACACAAGTAATATTTTTTGCAGCTCAAAAGGAATATTTCCAGAATAAGCTGGCAGGTTCCTGCTTGGGGAATTAGGGCCCTCATGTCCTTAACTCTAAAATAACTCGCATTTCATTTTATGCTTCTTTCATAAAGCAGCCATTCATTTTCCGACTAAAGGGCAACCCAAGCCGGCCACATCAATAGAGGCCGCCCGTGGGCGGAGTGTGCGTCAGGCTGGAGGATGGGGAAAGAGAACGCTAAACGTGGCAGCTGGTGGCTGGTTTGTAAAATGAGCTGAGCACTAAGGCCCTGGTATCTTTATATCTACATCCCGGTGCCCAGTAAGCTCACCACAGACTTTGTGGACGAGGGAGAACGTCCAGCAGAGTGATTTATGTTTGGAGAACTCTTGGAATGAAATTCTTGTTTTCTGTTGTCCCCTTTGAAGCTGTTGGAGTGGGATGTGTGGGAGGGGTACTCTTGGTCTTTAGGCTTGGAGTTTGGGGCTCTGTGTTCACATAGGTGACTCCTGGACACGTGGGTGACAGCTGGGTATGGACCTTGGCTAGGTAGCCGGCAGAGCTGACTTGAGACACAGCCATGAGACACTTGACTCTTCTCTTTTAGGTTAAATTTCTATTTGAAAAAATGTTTTTATTTAAATAGGCAAAATTAAACAATTATTAAAATTCATGTAAAAAGTATTTCTAAGTTTTTAAATTACTTTAAAAGAAATTTCTCTTCCTTGTGCACTCCCAAGGGTTTTTTTAGTTCTTGGTATTTCTATTAATTCTGATTTTCTATTGAGCCATTTCCCTTCAATTTTTCTTTCTCCTTGAAATTAGGAAACTTGATTGAGTAAAATAAGAATAAACTATAGTAAAAATGTTTTTTGAAAATGAATAGCCAACAGAAAATATCACAGGACATCAGTCCGTGCAAAGAACAAATTCTAAGTGGATTAAAGCCCTTTAGGGTTATAAGCTGACATGACAGAAAGCCTTGGGAAGTCGCTTCCCTGATCTAGCAGCCAAGTCCCTAAAATTAACAGCGTGACTGAAATCGCCCTTTCACCCCATTGTTCTCCTCTGTCACCCACATGAGAGGGAAAGTGACGTGAGCCTGGCCAATGAATGGCCTCCATCAAGCAGCTGTGGCTCCCAGAAGAACGGAGTCTTCCAGCCCAGCATGGCTTTTCTGCCAGCCTCCTGGCTTGGTGTTTCCTACATCTTTAAAGTGTGGTGTCCTCTCGTGAAGGCTGCCGCCAACCGTAGGAGTAGACTCTTGACAAGGGAAACCACGGGGAGGTTCAGTCCCTGAGTGTGGAGACTTTAGCCAACCCCCGACCGTAATGTGGGAAGACATTCTAAACCACGAGTTCAGAAGGAGCAACTAATGGGTTCACGGTCTGTCTTCAGAGTCAAGCATTGGAAGCATTAGGGGTCATGCTTTGGGAGGCAGCCATTGATTGTCCCTAAGGCTTCTAAATCCAGCTGAGGATGGCACCTCCCACGGAGCGGTGCACGTCCTAAGGGAACAGAACGTTTAAGGCTAGCTGGGCGTGGCGATGTATGCCTGTAATCCCAGCACTTGGGAGGCAGGGATAGGAAGATCATTACAGGTCTACTAGGGCTGCATGGCCCTGCCTATGAAAAACAAACAAACAAACAAACAGTGAAGGTTGCTTGGCGTGAGGTGTGAGTTCAAGGGTGGCAAAGAAAGAAAAGTAAGACTCAGCAATAAAGAGCAACCCCACATACTGGGCAGGGCGGCACAAGCCTTAATTCTAATACTTGGTGAGTAGGGGGATTGAACTGGGCCACATCGTCAGTTCCAGGTCAGCCCAGGGCTAAATGGCAAGACCCTGTCTCCAAAGACACAACAAACAAACCAACAAACACAAGAAGGGCATCAGACCCAGTAATATACAGAGTAGCCATTATAGAAGAGATAATTTAGAGAAGCATTTGTTGATCTCTTTGGAACACCACACACACACACACACACACACACACACACACACACACCAATTCCATAGATTATGTAGACCCCAGAGTAAGAACAAAGCTAGCTGATCATTGTGCCATTCACTAAAGAATTCACCCTCTATTTTATGGACACCTCCTGGAGATGTTTTTGGTTCCCTGATCCGTGGACGTTTGCTTCTTCAGAGTTTAAACTTAGAATCTTTGCAGTAGCACACAGCACTAAAATTTTACAGGAAACTAGCACCTTGTCTTTGCATCATTTTAATGCGTGCCACCTCTATAAAAGCCATTGTTTCCTTCCTCCTTTAGAAACTGCGAAGGACAGAACATCAGATACAAGACATGCAGCAATCACGTAAGTCCGAGACTATGTCATGCAATCATACCCTGTCTTAGAGTGTTTAACGTGAATGTGGAGACCAACACTATATTGAGAACTGTTCTGTTAACTTTAAATACTTGTTTGGCTGATGGCAGTCTTTGTATACAAGTATCTCCCATCCACAGTGCTCTTTGTAGGCCATTTCACATTTATGATGGAACTTGGTAAGTATGTAATTATGACTCCGTTCGTAGAAGTGACATACACAATAGCTTCAGAGTCCTTCACGGCCCCAAGTGCTTTTATGTCAGAATCTCAGCTAGTCTCTTCCACTAAGTGGAGACGTACATGAAGAAAAATGGACACACAAACACACGAAGAGGGAGTGAGGCTGAGGGATGGACACACAGACACACAAAGACAGAGTGAGGCTGAGGGACGGACACACAGACACGTGAAGAGGGAGTGAGGCTGAGGGACGGACACACAGACACACAAAGACAGAGTGAGGCTGAGGGATGGACACACAGACACACAAAGACAGAGTGAGGCTGAGGGACGGACATACAGACACATGAAGAGGGAGTGAGGCTGAGGGATGGACACACAGACACACAAAGAGGGAGTGAGGCTGAGGGACGGACACACAGACACACAAAGAGGGAGTGAGGCTGAGGGATGGACACACAGACACATGAAGAGGGAGTGAGGCCAAGGGGGTAAAATTCTCTTTGAGAGTTTCAAAGGAAGACTTCAGCTGGGAACAGGTCTGGGGTGTTTCCTCTACAGCAGACTGCCTGTTGCAGCCCCTGCTAGGTGACTCAGAAGGTCACACAGAAGGAAGGATTTATACAAGCCTCTTTGTTTGGTACATGAGTCAGCACTAAAAAGAATTAGAATACTGTGCTTTGCAATTATATGCAAAATTTGGACCTGGGGTGGTAGTTCAGTTGGAAAAGAGTTTGCCTTGCAAACAGGAGGACCTGAGTTCAAGCCCCAGAACCCATGTAAAAATTCCAGGCGTGGGGGCGGGCTTGTAATCCCAGCACTGGGAAGGCAGAGAGAGGAGGAGCCTGGGGCTTACTGACCAGGAGCCTAATTGGTGAACTCCGGGCTAATGAGGGACTCTGTCTCAAAGGAGGCCAGCGACATCATTCAGGATAACAGTCAAGGTTGTCCTCTGGCTCCATTCACACAGATGAACACATGCACGCACACTTGTTCCTTGGCGTGCACACGTGCCTGCTACACACATCAAAAAAACGACCACTCCTTTTTATTCCAAACATTTCCTTCTTTAGCAAAATATACTCGAACAAAACAGCAGGGCTCCAGATGAAGTGCAGAGGCTCCGGGAAGCTCTTCTGAGAGAGTCAGGTGCTCTCTTAGGAAGAAGTTTAGCAGTGTCTCCTGACACCTCTGCCCTTTTCTTTCCAGAGTCTTCTTTCTCCACAGAAGTCCCACCTAACCACTTTCCTGCCTTGCTATTGGTCATTCAACTTTTTATTAAAATGATCAGAAGGCACCTGGGCAAACACACACCTTCACAGTATCAACAAATATTCTGCAACAGACCCAGCAGGGTAGCAGGCCACAGTGTCCTCTCCAATATACGAGCTCCTGGCTTCCCTGTCAAAAGAGATGGGGTCTTGGGCTGAAAAATTAGGGTGCAACATGGTGAGGCCTAAGTAACTTCAGTCTTTAGGTAAAAGCTCTGATTGATGTTCAGCATAGGTCCTTACAGAGAAAATTATCAGGAGCCTATCAGAGCGATTGTGAGATTTCAGAAGAAGCCGTGCACGTCGGTCAGGAGTTCTAATACCCGAATTCATCAACTCCTTGTGTTTCCTTAGTCCAGGGCTTATGGAATTAAAGGCAATGCTAGCAAAAGCAAAGGGGAATGCCTTCTAAACTGCACAATGTATCACAACTTGGCAGGAACATTTTTGCAACATGGGCAAATTTTTAATGAGCAGTTAGCTCTGCACAGTGGGCTCTCTGATGGCTTCCAAAAAAGGTGACATTTGATGTGGCCTTCGCAGGATCCTTATTTTATGTCATAAAGCCCATGAGTGGCTAATTTTTTTTTTACCCGTTTTCACAAGGTGTTTCTCTTGGGGGTATTCTCTTGCCATTGCTGTTGTTTTTGCTCTGTATTAGAGCCATGTTCTGGGGCTGGATGGCCCAGTGGTTGGCAATACTTGCTGCTCTTTCAGAGGACTGGAGTTTGCTTCTCAGAACATATATTGATATATTCACAGTTTCCTGTAACTCTAGCTCCAGGGGCTGCAACAGTCCCCTCTGACCTCTGTGAACACACACACATACATATAGCCCTAAATAAATATTAATCTTTTAAGAAGGAGCTGTTCCCTCTCATATATGTCTTCAACTATGAGACTAGACTAGGCTATTTTAATACCAAAAAAAAAAATGTCTTGAGCTGCGCTTAGCTAAGCCAGGCTGGGCAGGCTTAGAGTTGAGGCTATACCAATGTAAAGTGAATGAAAGCAATTAACTGATTGCCTATGTCTCCTCCAGTTCTTAGAAAGTGGAACCCAGGAAATAGTTCAGTCTTCATTAGAAAACCTGAACGCCCAGAGTGTTTCTAAGTTCCTTCCTCTGAGACGTATTTCTTCTGGCCAGTTAAGTTAAGGCATCACGCTTCTACCGAACATACTTGATGACCTTTGTCCTGGGTCATCTGCTCCCGGGAACCCAAAGGAACACACCGCAACACTGTCCCTCAGTAGAAGTATGTGATATTTAATATTATTTAAGCAGAAACAGGTTTCGAGAGCCTGAACCCCAAAAGTGAGGAACAGGGCTATTTTCTCCTCCTCCTGAGATGTGTGGCTTGCCAACTTTCCTTCTCCCTCTGTATCCCGTCCATTCTCCTCTGGGATGCGAACTGCCAGTCTTTGCTGGGGCACACATGTCATAAAAGAAAGGGACAGCCCAGCCCCAGATTCATATGACTTATTCATCTCTGTTCCTCCTTTTTGGTGTAATTCAAATTCTTGGGGAAGTTTGACCTGGTGTAGACCAGATGTGTCCTGGCCAAGGATGACAAACTGGGCCACCCATTGGGCAAGGGCTGAGCTCAGGCAGACATCCTAGACTTACATTAGCTAGCACTCACTGCAATTTTAAATCTTTACTGGCTTATAGAATTCAGCCTGCCAGACCGTTCAGCCCCTACAGAGTGCTTGCCACACCCGTGAGCCCAGTGCAAGGGGACACATCTGTTCCCAGCTTTCCTGCACACTTTTCTTTGGTTTTGAAGATTTTGAAAGAGAACACTGACCATGGCTTGTGGGAAAGTAGGTGATGTCATCTTGTCATCGATCTTCCTCATGGTCACACGGAAGACAGAGGCCCCATTTCTAAAGAGAAAAGTTGTCAGCTTCAGTCTGCTGTGGTTTGCTTTTCTTCATTTGTCATGGTCTGAGATAAGATTTTATGTCTCTAAGACAACCAAAATGAATACACTGTCGAATGTTTTACACCAGTATAGTGAGCCCACGGGGAAGTCTGGTAAGCATGGTCTGCTCCTTCCCTAACTATTTCCAAAGGACTTGGAGGGTGTTTGCAAAGACCAAAGGCACAACCCAGTTGTTGCATAACATTGTGTGGAAATGCAAGGTGAGCAACTGTCCCTAGACTGGGACAGCATCAACAGCTGAAAGAATGACTCATTCAAGTTAAGCTTTCTGGGGTAAGTGAGTTTATTAGGGGTGCTTAAGGATGATTATGGACAGTTCCATTTTCCTAGAAGTCTCACGCACACCGCTCATTTTATGTGCCTCTAAGCTTAGAGTGGAATTGACGATACAGAGCCGGCTTCAGCGTGATACTTAGTAGGGCAATGGATGTGCCTGCAGACCCACACACCACGCTAGCCTCTGGTAAATTGATGCTGATAGGTACTTCTCCCAAAGACTGCAATGGTGTAGGCCAACGCAATCCAACCCTAAGAAGGGTGGCTTGGTTTTCTCTGTCTAGGAAGCAGAACAGCTAAACGGTGGATTGCAGCAAATTGGAGTCACTGTATTGAGGATTAGGAGGTCTGGCCCCATTGTAACAGTAAAACATGGGTTTGATATGGGGGCAAGGTGATACATGAAATAAACTATGTTTTAGAAGCATGTTGAAACATGTTCTTTTTTTGAGAAAATAGGGTGAGATTTTTTTACCTCACAGTACTCATCTGAATAATTCTAGCTAGAACAAAGAGTTAAACTGGTCACAGTGGCAGGCACATGGCTGAGACAGAGCAAGGAGGATCAACTGAAATTCAAAGTGTAAGCGTAGCTAGTCTGGGCTGCAGAACCCCACCTCAAAAATAAAATGGAAAAAAAAATCCAGAGCAACAATGACACATAAAACCCCAACTCCAAGCTCAAAGAGTTAAATGCCACGGCCAACCTATAAAGGAACTAGACAAATACAAATTTAATTAATAAAATTCGTCCTCAGGGCAGGGTAAGAAAAGAATTTGTAGTCCATTAAAATGGAAGAAGTCTTGCAGGGTAAGAAACGCTTTGTGGGAGCCTAGGCAGTTTGGATGCTCACCTTACTAGACCTGGATGGAGCTGGGTGGTCCTTGGACTTCCCATAGGGCAGGGAACCCTGATTGCTCTTCGGGCTGACGAGGGAGAGGGACTTGATTGGGGGAGGGGGAGGGAAATGGGAGGCGGTGGCTGGGAGGAGGCAGACATCTTTAATAAATAAATAAATTAAAAAGAAAAAGAAAAAAAAGAAATGCCAAGAATGCAGGCTGTGTAAACATTTAAGCCTTCTCGACGTCATAAGGCACCTGAGCCAAATGACACAGTGAAGAGGTTTCCAGCAGAAATGACCAAATTTGATGACCACATTTTCAAAGACCAGATGTAAAAAGGCAAACTTAAAAGACTACCTATGAGGCCTAAACAATAAGAAGGAAACGGAACTGAAAGCAATGAAAGTGCCTTATACATGTCTGATTAGAAATTATAATATCCAGATGGGGAAGAAGGATCCAGAAAAGCAACCGTATAGGGTGTGGCTAACGGTAACACCTTTCTCGAGGACCATTTCACAACATAGAGTAGCCCATAAAATATGCGTACACGTGCACTCAGAGAATTTTATTTTCAAAAATAAACCCTTAGGGAAGAGTCAAGCTTTGTATAAATATTTCAGTATAGGAATCTTTGTAAATTGTAGCTTATTCATTTTAATATAAACTTTCCCCCGAAGTTCTTAGAATGAACATTAACAGGAAAAGTATAAAATAATAGAAACCGTTTCCAGGAGTGCCCACTTGTCTCATCCAGCGTCTTGCCTTGGAACTATCTAGAAGGAAGAATGCATAACCTAAGAAAAAGGCCTCCCCCGAGTCTGCAGCACTTGCACTTTTTACTGTTCGTGGGAGGGAGCCCTAGGGTGTTGGGCTTTCTTTGCTTCTGTCACAGACAGAACCTCCCACTAGCTTGCTGAGGGCAGATGTTTGGTACCAGCGAGGAGCAATGGGAGACGAGAAAAGGAAAAGGCAGGCGCATCGAATAGCAACGGAGACACAGCCGGCAGCTCTCCCAAAACACAGATGTTTGGACAAGACTACACGCCTTCCTTTATAGGCATTTATAGGCAGTTAACAGTTGCTAGGGGGTGGGTGTGGGGGTGTCTGGGGGAACACAAAATAAGACAGGAAAGTAGAGTGACAGCTGGTTGGCCAGGGGAAGGTGTTCAGTGGGAGAGGAGCAAGAGAAAGTAATGGGGGTAAATATAATCGAAATACATCATATATGTGCCTGAAAGTATCTTAATAAAGCTCATTATTACATCGAATTAAACTACTTTAATAAAAACACACACACAGCAGTTTAGGGCTAAAATAGGAGCAAATGACCCCGCTGCAATGACGCCCAAGGGCCAAGACTGATACCGTTCCTGTATCCTTGAATTGCCTTGGATATAAAGGCCTTTGGTTCCCCCGTGACTCAAAAAGGAGACTGCTATTCATTTGGTAGTTTACACACGAGATGGCTAAACCAGGCTAAAATTAGCACCTACACAGGATGTGCCTTAATTAGCTGGGAAAACACCTGGTTGGAAGAGGGGTAGGATTAATAAAATGTTCCCCTCGGTAGGTCAGCCTTGCAGAGACCCCTGTGGAATTCCGCAGTGTAGAGATGCAGGTTCAGTTTGTGATCTCAGGGCGTAGGGAGGGCCTGAGAAAATAATGTGTCTTAGCAGAGGCAGGTGGGGTCTGGTTCAGCCTTCCCCTGCCCCCGTGGCTGGTTAATGTGCCCGGGGCCACACAGTTCCTTATGTTTCCCTACAGGACTGCCCAGCAGACTCGGAAGACTTCAGAGCCCAGCAGTGCTCAGCCTACAACGACGTGCAGTACCAGGGCCACTATTATGAGTGGATTCCACTATACAATGACCCTGCTGCCCCGTGCGCGCTCAAATGTCATGCTCAGGGACAGAGCTTGGTGGTGGAGCTGGCACCCAAGGTGCTGGATGGAACTCGCTGCAACGCGGACTCACTGGATATGTGCATAAGTGGCATCTGCCAGGTAAGCCACACCTGCCATACACGGCCTGGGTTTGGGGACGTTCCGTGTCCATTCTCAGTAAGGAGGTTTGGACCATTTCATTGTAAGTGTATTCCATGGGAGAGAATGTGTGGGCTTTAGGGAAATGATAGAATTCTCTCTCTGTTCTTCTGATCCCCGAGAAAGGTTTTCAAAATCCTGGATATCCGGCATTCCAATCATGTTTTCCTTATTGAATGCCGTATGGCTTTTGCCTGTGCAGAATCAAAATGTATGACTTCTTAAATTCTCTGGGATCAGGAAATCTCCAACTTGGGCATACAAACAGAACCCCCCACACACACACCCGCCCGCCAAAGCGTTTGAGATAGTGTAACCTGCCACTCCCACCTAGTATTTCTGACTCTGTCCATGGGAGTGAGGCCCAGCTCTTTGAGTTTCTCTTGAGTTCTCAGAGCTACCGAAGCTTTGCTGTGGGCTCCAGGACCACACTCTGAGATCACTGCTCTGAGCAGGCAGTACTGACCTCTGGGATCAAGGTCGGTCCAGCAGGTGGGCCTGGAGATTTTGGGGGAGCTGAGAGGAGTGGGACCAAGGCATCAACACCAGTGGATGGCAACAGCTGAGAATTTAGGCAGGTTCTAGAAACAGCATGCGGACTACAGGGGCATCGTAGACTTCCTTCCTCTTCCTTTGATCTCTGAAGGATGTTTCTCTGTTTGTGTGTATGTGGGTGTGGGTGAGAGAGAGACACAGAGAGAGACAGAGAGACAGAGAGAGAAAGAGAGAGAGCGTGTGCGCATGCGTAGATGTGTTAGCTCACATGAGAATTGGTGGAGGCTTAGAGGCTGACACCAGGCATCCTCCTCAATTTTCCTTCACATCTTTTGAGACAGAGTCTCTCATTGAACATAGCTGGGCTGATCAGCAAGCCCTAGTGATCAGCCTATCTCCTCTTGCCCCCACCGTCACCAGGGCTAGGATTATAGGTTTGTGTCACAAGGTCCTAAGAACTATTTTTTTTTAAGGAAACTATAGAGTTAATAAATGGAAGTATGAGGAAGGCTTGGAAATAGAGGAGGGGAGCAGTGGGAAGGGGTAGGAGGATACGGTAATAGGAGATTGAAGATGATTGCAGTGTGTGTGTGTATGAAATGCATAATGAAACCCATTAATTTATACATTTGATAAATGCTAATATAAAACAACAAATCTATAGTATTCCATCACTTCTAGAAGGCTCCGGGCAGTAACAGTAACTACGGCAATCAGCCCAGCTGCGTGTGGGAGAAAACACAGTATCTGTCTTTCCTTCCCCATGGCCTTTCATGTTTCTTCTTCCTCTTTCCTTTGCCCCCCCCCCCCGCCCCATTTTCCAATCACCCACTTCCACTTTCAGGTTCCTTCCTTCCTCCATTCCTCTTTCCCTTTTTTCTTCCTCCCTTCCCTTCCTCCCTCCCTCTTTCCATCCCTCGTTCCCTCCTTCCTCCTCTTCCTCTTCTTCTTCCTTATAAATATCATTCTTGTGTTCTCTGCCTCCCTCAGTGGTTTATGATGGGCTCTCTTAAAATCCAGGAATCCTGCCAAGTTTTCCAGGACTTTCCTACACAATTTTCTGCTACCTGACTCCTCAGCTGTTTTAACATAATTTTTAAGGGGGTACCTAGAAAAATTTAGTGTAAGACAGATATTTTCCACACCCCTTCTTGTTCCTCTGCATGCCCATCCTTTCTACTCCCCAAGCATGCCATCCAGATTATACAGATGTTACATCTGATGAGCTGCGTGGAGATAATGTGTCATTGCCCAAAGCAGGACTTATAGTCATCATTCCCTCCCTTTGTTTTCATTTCCACTTCAGGCAAAGTTTTGCCATATACTTGTTACTGTTTTCAAAGTAACTTTGTAGCCCAGGCTAGCACCAAGCCTATGGTCCTTCTATCTCAGCCTCTTGAGTACTGGGAATCCAGGCTATGATGTACTCACTAGTGTTATCTGAATCATTCTATCAACATAAAATTCTCCATGCTTTGTCTTTGCATTCCTCTGTTCCCCTAGCCACTGGGAACCAGCAGAAAAATTCCAAACACTTAGAGACAACTTATTCCCAAATAACACATAGGCAAGAATCTCACAACAAAGGAAAAGTTACTTTGAATTCAGCGAACATGGAAATACAACTTGATAAAATGTGTGTGATACAATGAAAGCTGCCCTCAAAGGGAAATTTCCAGCCCCAAAGAAGGCTCCAGGATGGTGCATCTATGCCTTAGGGAACTGGAAATGCAACAGAATTCAATGCGAGTCAAGCAGAAGAAAATAACTCATGAAAATGAGAGAAAAATCCCAATGAAAAAGAATTGGAAATGAAGAGATAAAGGAGGCCAAAGTTGGATTTCTAGAGACAGCAGTAGCATTTTACAGCTATAAAACAGACTAAGAAAATAATGAGACGGAAAGAAAATGGCATCAGAAGTAAATCATGAGACATTACTCAGATCAGACTCAGTGGGCAGTAAAAGGACAATGAAGGAGTAACAACAACCCTGTGCTCATAGACTGGATAGACGAAATGACCATATGTTTTCAAGATAGGGTTTCACTGTGTAACACTGACCAGTCCTGAGTCCACTGTATGGACCAGGCTGGCCTTAACTCACAAAGATCCACTTGCTTCTACCTACTGAATGCTGGGATTAAAGGTGTTGGCCACCACAGTTGGCTTAATGTCATTCTTAACAGTAACAAGTTAGACAGTTGCTTGCTAAGATCAGGAACAAGGCAAAGATGTCCCCCCAGCTCCTCCTCTCCCCGCCACTGCCTTTCAACAGACTGGGAATAAAAGACAAGAAAATATGCTGTTTGAGGAAAAGACCAACATTATCTTTGTTTACACATGATTTGATTGCATATGCTGAATAAAAAAAAATAAAGCCTCCTGGAACTAACAACTGATTACAGATAGTACAGTGTGTATAAACAGGTTAGCTGTACAAAAGTCAAAGACTTAAGGAAATACAGCTCCACTTACATCAGCATCCCCCAAGGGAGCTGAGCAAAGTTGGAGGACCGGCATTCTACAGCCTCCGGTCTCCATATAAGGTGACAGCAGTCAAAGCAGTAAGAAACCAGCACAAGAAGAGACAAACGGGAAGTGGTCTGTACTGTGGTGGAAAGCCTAGGAATAAGTCCATAGCCAGCCAAGTGACCTCCCAGGAAGCAGCAATGAGAGAAGACAGTTCACAGATTGTGCTGGGAGAACCGGATATTGCCATATAAGCACTCTAAACACAGATTGGCCTCCTTCACCAAACATAACTATACCACAAATCCAGACGCAAAACGGAAACTCTTCTTGAAGTTGACACCGCAGCATCCAGCCTCCCCTAGCTGCCTGCCGATCTCTCTTTGTCCATTGCCTGCCCTGCTTTGTCTTATCTAACACTCCCTGTTGCCAAATCTTGCCATGCTCAACGCTTGCTGTTCCATTCTTTTGCATTATAAGCTGTCCGGGATTTCCCTTTGGTCCAGCCAGTCCGCCCCGTGGGGCTTGTCCACTGCATAACCATACTTCTCACCAGTTTGTGGGATTATGCTATTTCTTTCCAACTTCTTGTCAATGCCGGGCATTACGTTTGTGCTCAAAATGAGCTTGTTGTCAGTAAAGGTGACGTTGGAAAGTTGAGAATGAGTTAGATAAACAAAGGAAAGGCCTGGGCTCATGACATGCAGAAGAAGGAGGCAGCGTCAGGTGTGTGTAAGGGTATCTAATCTTCTACGGGGCTGAGGGGTAAGGTGTGGTCGTGCGGTAGCGCTGGAAGTTGGGAGTGCATGTGTGAGTGGAAAGAAGCAAGTTGTTAACTTTTCCCGAGCGCTGTCGGAAGAGCCACTGAGTGACTTTCCAAGAAACAGCTCAGATGGGCTTGCCGCTAGAAAGGTTACCTCCCTGGTAGTGTGCCCGGATATTTGGAGGGGAAACAATGGGAGGTCAAGTTTGGACTCATGAAGGCTGCAAAGTCCAACAGTGGGTAGGACGACTAATGAAGGGGAGGGAACTTTAGGAAGGAACAGCATGTTGTTTAGGACTGCATGGGTGAACGGATGTGGGGAGCGGAAGGGGGTCACTTGGTAGACTAGTGTGGTCATCAGGAAGACAGAAAACGTTGGGTGGGAACGAGATGGGATGAGCTTGGTACACCTGTGAATAAATAAGTTGGCTCAGATTTTAGATCTGGGTGGGGGGGTGATGCTAAGCTCCTGGTATCTAACCTAATGCCCCTGGGTACTCGGTAAGGAGAGCAGAGGACTGGCCTTGTCACTGAAGGGGACAAGGGAAGTGCCCCTGATGCTGACTGGATGGAAGAGACTATGTGCCGTGTAAAGACCATGAGCGAGAGAAGAAAGGCTGGGAGAATATTGCACAAGGAAGGTTAACAGTGCCAGTTACTTCAGGGGCTTCACGAGGCTCGGGAGGTAGGTTGATGAAAGCTAGTTGGCGACCTCGGTTTAGGTAAAGCCTGTGACCTGGCGAGAAAAGGCATTGGTGGTTAGCAGACTTCACTAGTTTCCCGGGGGTACGCAACACATTGCCACAGACTTGATAGCTTAAAACAACAGAAATGTGTTTTCTAATACCCTGGAAGCCAGAAGTCCCAAATCAAAAGCTTCAGCAGGATTTGTTCCTTCTAGAGAGAAAGCTCAGCCCATCCCTCACTCTTCTGGCTTCTTGTGGTTGATAGTCAGTCTCCACGCTCCTTCCTTGTGGATCCATTGTGGCAGCCTTGGCCTCTGTCCTCATCTAATCTTCTCATCTATCTCTATGTCTTCCTTTAAAATAAAAACAAAACAGAATCAGGACACCTGCTATTCTTCTCCGGATGATTTAATCCCAGGATTCTAAATTGAAGTTGCATAGACTTCCAGCTCACTTCCTGTAATACATGCTGTCATCTGCTCAGAGCTGGCTGATGGCCATGTGGCCTCTCCCTTAGTGTCACCGAGATTTGGCCTTTTCAATGGGC